AGTGTTTTAAATCAATACTTTATCCAATTAAAATTCTATTAAGTTTTCTGTTTCATTAGAAACTTTTGTATAACCGTTTATTTTAATAACTGTCATCATACATTGGAGTTTTTGCGATAAACTAAAAAAAAACTTCTTTTAATCAGCCTCTTAACAGGCTTTAAGCATTTTCATTATTCATACAATTTTCAGACACGTAGCAACTTTAAAAGATCTAACATCTACACCAACTTTAAATTATAATCGATGAATGTACTTAGCTTACCTTTTTGTGTTAGACTCTCTGGTGGAGATAGAGTATTTGTTCTTAATACTGCTGCCTGACTTCTGCCTTTTCCATTAGCTGCGTACATTAGAACCACAAAGTTAGTGCCTGGTTGTAAGCCGTGTGCAACAAAAAAAGGGGTATCTGTGGTCATGTTTGCTCGTATTCTTTGTAGCGTGGAATCGTACAACTCCATAAAGAAGTATTGAGGTAATCCACCATCATATCCGGCGATACATTCGATAAGAAGAGATTCTTCTGTTTGATTAGTAACAGAGCAATTCTGAAGAGAATCCGGTGGGCCTGAAAATTAATATTAGGCAGTTGATCATCATAAATATTACAAATCATGACTAAAACATCGTTTAGTCTAAATTTATTTCTTTAAAATAGATAAATCAGTAATAGTGTGATATAAACATTACAGAATACAATTTATTTATGTACTATCATCTCCAGCACTTGTTTGTTTAGTTTATTTTTCATATATATAATATTTAGAAAAAAATTTATATTCACTAAAGTTGAAATTTTGAAATGTTTACTTCATTTAAACAAAAAGTATTTACCAATATAAATTATACCATAGAAGTAATCGAAGTACAGCTCTAACGGAGAAGCTAAAAAGTTGTTAATCGCTAACACATAAATTTTACAAAATAACCTATTTTTTTTTTAATATTTATTATATTCGTTTAAAACTATGAATTTTAAGTTCTATTATTCATTTGAATTTGCATAAAACTGCCATAGAGTGAATAAATTAGTTTATCGTCGGTCTCATTTATTTTAATCCGCACCCAAGATGGTTTATGATACGAATAATTATTATAATCCACCTATAATAAATTACTCATATCATCAACCGCCGTTTCATTTATTGGTACAACACTCAGTTTAACGCACCCGTTTAATACCTGCTGGGATAATGGTGTAGATGCACGGTTCTCTCTGAAGTCCTACACTGTTCTTTCCCAAACAGAGAACAGTACCGTAGTCATAAATTGTTCGAGGAGTATACGTTGCCACACTCGTGCTTCCTTCACTGGTAAACGTTACGAGATCTACATTTTCCGACGTATTATTGAAGGACCAAGAGAATGTGACTTCGCTGGGATCAGCATCTACTTCACATGTAATCTTGACAGCTTCACGTCTGGCGGCTCCATACACGTATTTTTGATTTGCACTGCATACCGGAGAAACTAAGAACAGGAAAAAAAAACATCTGGTGAGAGGTTTAAATAAAACACCAAAACCGATTTTGTTCGAAGTTTAAAAAATAAGGAGCTCTAAAAAAACAAACTTCAGTTTAAAAATGGTACTTGGTGAAAACAAAGATTATCTCTCGTTGAACGAAAAAAAATGGGGATTAAAAATATGAATTTTTTTAACTCGAATGAAAATATTAGAATTGTGTTTTTGAAGTACAATTTGTATTATTATTATTTTTTTCCTAACTGTTCATTGTTGTTTCGAACAGTTTTAGTAATCGAATTGCAATTCTAAAATAAGAAATATAATAGAAGGATTTCGTATGTTTTCAGAAAAAAAAGGGACGAATCTTTTAGAATATAATTACATTTGCAAGATAAAATACTTTTAACAATTGAATACAATTTCATTGCTCGTTTCGTTTCTATCGATTTAAAATACTTATTACTTAAATTGCTTTCGGGTATTTTGAGATTTTATGTAACAATAAATTCAATAAGCTCATAATCTGTTATTTAGACCTATGATTTGTATGATAATTCTAAACTAAAGAAATATTTTTTGAATTACTTCTTTTTAGTAAATAACATAATTAAACATGGATATTAAATGTATTACAAAAACATCAATAAGCTTTGTATACGTCAAAATAAACTTAAATTATTAAAAAAATAACCAAACAAGATTTAGTGATTTAAATTAGATTTCCAAAATAAAATATTCTGTAAAATAATTATAAACTTTTCGTTATTAAAAAGAATTGATAATTATTTATAGAATAAAATATAGTTTTGATATTATAAATAATTTTTCCAGATTTGAAAATTACTTACTTTATTAAATTTAATAAAACATTCTGCAAAGTGAAATCTATCTTTGGTATTTTTTAACGAGCCTATTGGAATCGTTTATATATTAAAGAATTTAATTAATTTGGAAAATGGATAATATAAAAAAATAAGTTGGTTGCAGGGTATAATATTATATCTTGGAAAATATTTGAGAATGAGAATGACTGTATGGAAACATCGAGAGACCAATTTAAAGAAAGAAATTTAATGATAAAGTTAAGATATGATGGTGATGTACACCACAACTTACGGGAACCTTCCATCTGGATAAGATTGAAGTTTAGAGAAAAATACGTGATAAATCAGTAGATTGAATGGACTAAGCATTTCGTGATTCTTTTAAAAACCTGCTGACAAGCAATAACGTTTTTGTATTTCAAAAAATAAAAATTGATTCTTTTGTTTCTTGACGAACTTAACAGCTGTAATGCGGGGTTAACTTTCTTATTTTTTTAAATCAACTGCGTACAATTATCGATTGTATTTAATTTTCTTTTAAACTAAATCAGAACGTTCGTAGTTAAATGAATTAAGTATATGTAGGATACTACAAAATTGATAAAGCTATGAAAACTTTAGTTCATTTTCTTATTTTCCTTCTCTTTTAAATTTATTGCACGAAATTACCTGTAATATTTTGTTCTAGTATATTGATAATTAGAAATTGTGACAAACCATCGACTAATGTAATATAATCACGTCATTATATCCATCTTTTAAAGGAAAATCGCGTGCTTACTTTTTACGTCATTATTAACGTACCAATTTTGCTAATAATACAATCTTAACTTACATTGTATCCTTAGAAACAGCAGATTACTTTCGCCTTTTCCTTCTGAATTAGTAGCTGTACATGTGTAGCGACCTCGATTTGCACGTTGAACCTTCTGGAGGACAAGAGATTGGTTACTAACTATTATCCCTGCTGATAAATTTGTGTGAAGATCACGGTTTTCAAATTTCCAACCGATTTCGTTAACCCAAGGGTTAGCACGAATATTACATTCGAAATAAACATCATTTCCCTCCTGGATATGAGAATGACGAAGCTTGCTACCGAGACGTAACGTTAATTGAGGAATAACTGAAAATTAAATTTAAAAACTATTTAATTAAAGATTAATTATTTAAAATTTTAGAAATGAATATAAAATGAATAAACAAATATTTTAAATTTATATTATTATTAATGTTAAATAAATATATAGAACATTTCTCGAAATTAATACTTTTTTCTATTAGAAATTTCTTAATTTTATACTTTTAATCGAAAGCAGCAATTTCTAAATGATATCTTCCTAAAATAAGTTTCTACAAACTTTTATCACAATAAAACTTGATCCTTTTTTGCTGTGCCGTCTTCCTGTTTTATGACACAAGTAGTGTTTTACTACACTATAGAGAGTTCAATCGCTTTAGTACAGTCGTTCCCATGCACAGAGATTCTAGTGTACGTAATCGAGTTTTAGAGGTGTGTAAATCACAGAAAGCGATGCAAGAGAGTCTCCCGCTAGGAACACTGGTATTTCATTTACCACTTCACCACTCTGTATCTTTATATCAGCTACCTCAATCTGACAGATATGAGAATTTAATTTTAGACTGAAATACTTACAGTGAACATCTAATTTCCAACCGTCTTCGAGTGCGCTTCCAGACACTGCTTGATTCTCTGCCCTACAGGATAGAAATTTGCCACTATCTTCCACTGATGGGATAAAAGTCAGTATACTGGTACTAACATTGTCTTGAGAGGAAACTTTCTCCCTTGTTGTTTTTAGTTTGACACTCCCTTTCCACCAAGAGATGACAGCAGGGGGTCGGGATCCTTTAGCTCGACATACTAAATCCACAGCCTTATCTGCTGACAATGGACGACGTTTGTCTTCTATACTAACTTCCAGAGGAACCACTAAAAACAGAGAAAATTCTACTTTATTGTGACAGAACGGACCACTTGTGTCGCTTCCATATACACACTCTTTCTCATCTGTCATTTGCTATTTACAGTTTAAAATTCTCTGAAGAATAGTAAAGTAACATTTGTAAAAATTGCTTTTTAACATGGTATTTCTTTTTCCTATTATAAAAGTCCTCTTCATTCTCAAGAATAAACTGATTTTGTTTATAATTATCATGAAAATGAAAGAAAAGTATTGATACTTTGCTTTAAAAATTAAAAAATTATCTAAACTATTACCAACTACATAATAATTATCAGTATTTTCAGTTACTATAAGATCTATATGTGTTGTTAAAATACATATTTTATGTATAAAATTATAAAAAATAATTCTTATACAAAATAAGTATGCTTGGAATAATTAGAATAATTCTAAGCTAAATGTTATAAAAGCTTAATTACATATTTTATAATAATATTACTTATTATGGCAGTGGTGAGTTATAGCTTCGTGGAGCCCAGGAAATTTTTGAATTATGAGGCCCCATGCACAGTATTGATTTCAGACATTTTTCTTCGGGGGGGGAATTATTTGGAAAAATAGTTTCTTAGAAAAAATTGGTTTGGGGCATCCTGTTGGGGAGGCTCCAGGCAATTGTCCTTTTTGCCCATTGAATAACTCGCTACTGTATTATGGTTAATAACAAATTTATATTTCTATATGAAATAAATAATTCAATTTAATACAAAAATAAAATTTTATAAAGCTTATCTTTTAAAAAAACTAACTAGCTTTTAAAAAAATTTATAATGCTACAAAAATAATTGGCATTATATAAATTGTATTTACTTAAAAAAACTTATTAGAAATATAAATAAATAAAATATATGCAGAATATTATATTATGTAGGCCTATATATACATTTAATTAAAACTAATTTTTTTACGAAAAAATATATACTTTTTAAAAATTTATATAGAGATAAAATAGCTATTTTAATTACGTTTAATAATAATAAAATTATTAAAAAATCTGAAATAAAAAAATTATTAAAATTATATTGTTCTCTTCATAGAATTTTCCTTGTAGCAAAAACATGTTATTTGTCGGATTATATATCAAGAGTTATCTGTTGATTAATCTGTTGATCAATGAAAACTCTTACTTTCGAAGAGTCGTTCTTCACGTTCCACGGTCAACAACCGGTCGGATAAGATGTACAAATATTATTCTACAATCACCCAATAGATTAGAGATATCTGACAAGATATTAGTCATCAGGTTATACCTTAAGGGTGCCACAATCGATCGAGATCTTAATCTTACTTCTATTAACTGCAAATGGTAGCATCCATTCTATATAGAAGCAAGATGGCTTTCTATTTTATGCTATTAATTATCTATATATCTGTTATATTAGATAATGATTTGCATTGTAATAATATGCTTTTTAAAGATATAAGTTAATTTTTTTGTAATAATAACAAAAATNTATTTTTAATATATTTTAATATACAGTATGTATTATTTGTGGTCACTGAACTTAAATAATCGTGCAGTCCATTTCATTTATTAGAATTTATTTCATTTTTAATAAAACAACTCAAAAAATATCTAAGTAATATCATGTTTTATTTCTAAACAATATAAAATAGCAAGATAGCGTATAAAATAACTGTTAAGAAACGAATTTTTAAAAACAAGTGGAAATTTTTTCAGTGAAAATGATACTATGATTTATACAGAATCTGTTACAGATGTATAATAAAATAAACTATAAGCTAAAATATAGATATAAGAAAAATTGTGATTTTTTTACAACGGTACCGTACTGTTAAAATATTCATACACCTGTAAAAATAGCATTTTGTTGGAACTTTTTAGAATTATCTTATAAAAATATGAGTTTAATTACAAAATGATTTAGAATTTTAAAAGTAGATCCAGATCAATAGATGCCGAGATAGAAATTTAAAATGAGACAGAATAGTGAATAGTTTCTTCAGTGAACATCTGTTGCTCGACTAGAGTTTATAGAGATATTGGTTTTTGTAGTTTTAGAAGATATCATAAAACCAAGCTTGGTTTTATTTATTTTCGCTGAAGAAACATTGGAAAAAAGAATTTGGATATAAGATAACCAATCTACTTGTACGACTCATGGTAATATATTTTTTTTCTTGCCTTTAATAATACGAATTGAAATCCTTTTATACTTTGTAACGTAGATGGAAATTGTTGGAATTTTCAAGAAAATGTAAAAATTTTTTTCTGATTTTGATTGCAACACCTAGGTTTATTTGGAGGTATACAATAATCGAATGTATTCTTATTTGTTAGAATCCTAAAGAGTTAGAATTCAGACTATTCTTAAAGAAGTTAGCGTGACACATGATTTATTATATATTATTTGAATATTCTTTTACAAAACTTCAGAATATATATAAGTTAAATTGTGAACGTTGAAATTATCATAATAAAATTAATTTAAAACTGCTTAAAAGTTTTGAATATCTCAAAAAAGGTTACTTTTTCACAATGAAATATAGAATCTGAAATTTTTTCCTTCTTCAAAAGTGCAAAATTTTTTTTTGAATAAATGTATTTTTTCTTTTATAAATTCAGTTGTTTATAAGTAATCATATATAAGTTATTGTTTCGTGCACTACGTTATTGTCTTTTATAATAAGCTATGGCAACATAAGCCAGGGATAGAAAAATATGGAATGTGAAAGAAAAAAATGTCACATGAAACTTGAAATTTTAAGTAGAAAATCATTTCCTAAATCGGTATCTTTCTTGGAGCAAAAACAATTTACATTTATTTCATCTTAGTGAAAATAATTAAAAACGAATTAAATTAATCGCTTTACTAATTTTTCTTTTAATCGATTAAACTTTGTATGATAAATAAGATCAATTCTCAATCTCTGTCTCCTATTTCTTAGTTACCTGCGACAAATATATTTCAAAATGACTATTTTAAGCGAACAACTAAAATAAATTGGATTACAATTATTTACTTCATTCAGAACATATTAAAATTTATTGAAAAGGTTATTTAACACATTTTTTGGTCTCATTAATTACTATTTTTACGTTTTATTAAGCAACAAATTTAGATGAGCACTTAGAATTTATATTAGTTAAGAAAATTTTTTATTAAATCTGTACAGTACATTCTAATTTTAATGTTTGTATGTATATATAATCGAAAATTAAACAGTAAAAATATCCTGAAATTAATTAAAATATTTTACTTTTTATATCGTTGCTTTAGATAAATTGGCTTCTTTTTAATTTTTTTTTCTTTTCAGACGGAAAGTAAACATTGGTTTATTGTAAATCAAATCAACATTTTAAATTAAAAACTATTGTGTTTTTAATTTAGAATAGTTTTCACAATGGCTTAATTTGCATTGTTTTTTCAATAGTTTCTGTTTTTTTTTTTTTTTTTTTGTTAAGCTAGAGGATATTGTGTTTCCTAAAAATAAAATTTAGAGTGAGTCTTGTATCTGAAAGCAAAAGCAATAGCAATCACACAAGATTTTATATTAACAATGCATGATATATCAGTGGAAATCTGTATTGAATAAGTTTGTATAAGATATAGCTTAAAAAAAAAAAAAACATAAAAATGTTTTTGATTCAATGGGTTTAGGTATTCGTGATATTTGTGTTTATCCTTGATTAATGTCGATATCCATCTAAGCTGTAAATTTGACTCAAGCTGATATTTTTCACTAGATGGCTGACGACATGTAATGTAAAAAATAAGTTATAGCATTTTCTTTCAAGCAGTTTTCTGTCGGCAGGCCAAATCTGAGAATGCACTGTGGAGCTATTCTCATGTTTGAAAATTCTATAGGAAAGTGTTTGCAATTTAAAATAAAATGGTTTTATTCTTTTGCATTGTGAAAAATTCAGAATAGTTTTTTTTATTCAACAGTTATTTTGAAATGTAATCTTTGATAACTTTGGTTTCTTTAGTTTGTTTATGTATATTATTTTTAATATATTTTAATATACAGTATGTATTATTTGTGGTCACTGAACTTAAATAATCGTGCAGTCCATTTCATTTATTAGAATTTATTTCATTTTTAATAAAACAACTCAAAAAATATCTAAGTAATATCATGTTTTATTTCTAAACAATATAAAATAGCAAGATAGCGTATAAAATAACTGTTAAGAAACGAATTTTTAAAAACAAGTGGAAATTTTTTCAGTGAAAATGATACTATGATTTATACAGAATCTGTTACAGATGTATAATAAAATAAACTATAAGCTAAAATATAGATATAAGAAAAATTGTGATTTTTTTACAACGGTACCGTACTGTTAAAATATTCATACACCTGTAAAAATAGCATTTTGTTGGAACTTTTTAGAATTATCTTATAAAAATATGAGTTTAATTACAAAATGATTTAGAATTTTAAAAGTAGATCCAGATCAATAGATGCCGAGATAGAAATTTAAAATGAGACAGAATAGTGAATAGTTTCTTCAGTGAACATCTGTTGCTCGACTAGAGTTTATAGAGATATTGGTTTTTGTAGTTTTAGAAGATATCATAAAACCAAGCTTGGTTTTATTTATTTTCGCTGAAGAAACATTGGAAAAAAGAATTTGGATATAAGATAACCAATCTACTTGTACGACTCATGGTAATATATTTTTTTTCTTGCCTTTAATAATACGAATTGAAATCCTTTTATACTTTGTAACGTAGATGGAAATTGTTGGAATTTTCAAGAAAATGTAAAAATTTTTTTCTGATTTTGATTGCAACACCTAGGTTTATTTGGAGGTATACAATAATCGAATGTATTCTTATTTGTTAGAATCCTAAAGAGTTAGAATTCAGACTATTCTTAAAGAAGTTAGCGTGACACATGATTTATTATATATTATTTGAATATTCTTTTACAAAACTTCAGAATATATATAAGTTAAATTGTGAACGTTGAAATTATCATAATAAAATTAATTTAAAAC